GAGAAGCATACATAAAACATTGATAACTTCAGGCAGTAATACATTTGTTTGTAGAACATAAAAGTATGCTGCCCACAGAAATGCACAGCTCTGTACTGCAGTTGATTTACCGCAGGAGCTGACATCTGTATTTAAAACGTTCCCAAAATGATGCATTTTGGAACTCTTCTTGCTAGCTCTAATGGCTTTATTTCACTGAAGATTTATTCGTATCTGTTACTGTCGGACACGAAATGGTTCACACGGACGCAGCTCGAGGTGTGGCGAAAGAAGAATTTTTGTTTATTTGTTCTTTCAGTATTTGTAGGTTTCTGACCATGACCAGGGATTGGATAGTCAGGTTAACACCTTCCCGACTGCACTGGCTGTGAGAGATGTCCATCAAAAGGCAAATGTTTAATGGAATGTATAAACACCTGTGTTTATAGTTACCTTCCTGGGAAAGTGGCTGGAACTTGTCAAAAACAAAATCGAAAGGCCTGATTCTCAGGGGGACACATATCTAAGACTGAGCTCGTTGTTTATTAAGTGGAAAAGATGCACAAAGGCACTTCACAAAGGCTGCCTTAGGACCAGCTGAGGTGGTGCCACACTGCTGCTGTAGCTGTGCCACACAAAGTACTTTTCCACTGGGAAAGCACTGGAAAGCACAGGTGTCCTCTCTGAACTGGGGCCAGCAGCTCAATTTCTCTTTTTCAGCAGTGAGAGCAGAACAGTACCACCTTGGCAGGTATTACCTGTAAAACACTGCTTTAGTCCAGTGGAGATAGAGTGAGAAACTACAGGAGTCAGCTTCAGGGGTTCATTTGCAGTCCATTATGCTCCTTTAGCTTCTGTCTCCTGTAGCTGGAGGGCAGAGGAAATGCAGCTTGTGAAAGCGAAGAGCCATTTGGGAAAGCTCATTCCGGAGTGTGAGTTCCCTGGGCACTGCTTCTGTGTACCCCTGTTCCCCAAAGGACACCCCTGAGTGACATCCTTCCCCAAGGCCAGGAGCTACCTGCAGACCAGAGGTGTGATTCTGAAACCACAGCTTTCCCTTGCTCCAGGTGCTTCTCTTTGCCCTGACCCCAAGTACGTGCTCCCCCCCAACACTGCAGGTTTTTCAGGTGAGCAGATTTTGATTTTACTTGGCCCCCCAGCAAAGTAAATTTGCCCTCTGTAGATTTGATTCCAGCAGCTTTATAGCTCCTCATCTCACAGCAAACAAGAGATCTGTAACAGGCCAGGCACCTGATCACCAGGACTGTGTTTAACAGAGGTGCAGTACCCATGGAACAGCAAACAGCATTATCTTACAGAATGCCTGAGTGTGAGATGGTAAACCTGAAAACAAATTTACAAATTATTGGCCTAGGCAGGCAAAATGTAAGTAAGGGGTTTTTTTTAATAGGGAAATGTTCAGTTCTGTTTACAGACTTCTAGGATCCACAGTGTGAGAAACTGATCATCTGAGTTTTTGTCATCTGGATTGAGCAGGTGAGGAAGAAGAAAACACTGGGTGCAAACCTTTTAAAGACCCTCTTCAGGAAGCAAGGCCAAGGTGTCTCACTGCTGTGACAGTCTGGTTTTTCCCCTCACAGAAGGGGAAGAGAGAGAAGAGAGAAGTAGAAGGAGATAGATACCAGAGAAGGAGAGAGATACCAGTAATACTTTTTTTTTTTTTTTTCCTGAAGCAACAGAATGAAACTACAAGTAGGGAATAGAACAACGTGCTGGTTTTCAGAGCCAGACTCTTCTGAAATGTAACAAGTGAGATGGTACAGCCATGGTGTTGCTTGATAAAAAGAGTATGTGCACAGAAACAGAGATAGTGCTATAGCAGTGACAGGAACAGACTGTGTGGGAAGAGAACCCCTCCTGCACTGAGAAACTCTGTCTTGGTTAAAATTCAGATTTTCCTGGCTGTCGTAGGCTAAAGCTGGATCTTTAACAATGTTTAAATGAACAAGCGTTCACGATATAAGCTCATGGATATATGTTTCTGAGAAACATGGGAAGCCCTCTCTGGAACAGTAACTACCAAGAGGAAAGGTTGTAAGGAAGGGCTACAGAAAACAGTCTTGCTGCTGCATTTAAAGCACACAGCACAACAGCACAGCAGTCAAATACAAGCCTTGCATTCTTTCCTGAAAACCATTTACAGTTTATACTCTGCTACATTGCAGTAACACATCTGCCTCACCAACAGCTGACAAGCCCAGGCACTGAGCATCCCCAAACGGGCTCAGCCTTCAGTAGCAATAGCACTGTATCCGTGGCAGTGCTGAAACTTTGACCCTCCTGTCAGCTCAGAAGCGATTGCTCTGCTCTTCCTCAGCAGTGCTTGTACTTTCACAGCGTGCAAGAGCACCAATGTCCTTACCAGGCATGTGAGGAGAAGGTAAGAGGAGTTATCTGTGAGCTCTCCAGCTGTTGACTGCTGTGAGAATATGTGATCAGGGCTGTGGCCACAGAGGTGGGGACCAAAACATCCATGCTGGAAGTGCCAGTGGTTCCAATGCCTCTGGAATGGGAACGTGCCCTGGACACGTCTGCTGGGCTGTCAGGTTGGTGACAACATGAGAGGGCAAGGCTCCAACAGAGACATAAAAATGAAAATATGAGTCAGATTTGAGACATTTCAGTGACAATGGACACACCAAACCCAGCAGTGGCTGGTGCCAGGCCATGAGGTGACATTGGGAGTCCTGGAGCTGGAGCGGAGGGAACATCTCTTCCATGGTACCCTGTTACACAACCAGCACCCCCTTCATTGGAGCCGCTCAGCCTGGAGAGGTGAAGGCTGCAGAGAGACCTCAGAGCACCCTCCAGTACCTCAGGGGTCGAAAAAGAGCTGGAGAGAGACTTTGTAGCAGAGTATGAGGTGGCAGAGCAGGGGGGAATGGCTGCAGGCTGAGGTGAAGGTGGGATCTTGGGCAGCAATTGTTCCCTGGCAGGGTGGGCAGGCCCTGGCACAGGGTGCCCAGAGCAGCTGGGGCTGCCCCTGGATCCCTGGCAGTGCCCAAGGCCAGGCTGGACATTGGGGCTGGCAGCTCCTGGGACACTGCGAGCTGGCCCTGCCGTGCCTGGGGTGGGAATGGGTGAGCTCTGGGGTCCCTTCCAACCCAAACCACTCCTTGATTCCCCTCAGAATGGCACACCATCCCCTCATCCCCAGCACTCCTAACTCGCATCCCTTTTCCCTCACCCCTGCTATCTCTATCCCCTCAGCCCCAGACACTCCTTTCCCCTCATCCCGGACCCTCCTTTACCCTCAGTCCTGCACTGTTCTTTCGCCCATCCCAGGTACCCCTCAGCCCGGGCTCCCTTTCC